AGGATCTAGGGTTTTCAGAGAAATTCTCAATTTTTCTCCGAAGGCTTTGCGCGGCTAGCCTAATCTATTCAAACTTTCTCTTGGTTCCTGGTTTGTCAATCGTTCTCAGCTAGGTATGTCCCTTGCTCTGTTCCCTCTTCTTCTCTTTTGTTCTGGATCCCTTGAATTTGAGGTGGTTGTTTAATTTCTAGACTTTTTGCTTTTGTTACTTTAGGAATCGAGGTCTTACCTTGTCCTTTCTTCCTCTATTCTTGGATCCCTACTCTACTACTACAGTCTTTCTCTTCGGTCACTGCTGTCTTGACCCTTGGGCTCTTAGGGATTGCTTTACTCATATTCCCCCTCTTTACAGTTCTTTCAACCTTCCTTTCTCTTGCCCAGTTATGTCGACCTCTTCTGAAGCCACAACTTCGTCTGTCTCTCTTAACATGGGTGACAGGTTCCCAAAAATAAAGGAGGACAACCTGGGGGATATTGGTGATGAAATAGACAACTTCCATGGGGTTGATGTCGTAGAGAGGGTAAAGGTGCCTTTGTCTTTACCAGGGTCTTCTTCGAGTTCTAAGCGATCTCGAAAAAAAAAAAGCTAAAAAGCATAGAGCAGGACCTTCAGGAAGAGTTAAGGGCTTCAAACCAATTCCTCGCGCTTCAGACCTTATAGGTCATAGTGAGGTTACACCACCTCTCATGAGCATCTTGTCTACAAGGTTTGGATTTCCCTGGGGCATGCGCTATTGGATCCCTTCTGTGGACATTAGGTATGATTCTGAGGTCCCTGGGAGGACCAACTTCTTCGTAGCCTTTCTAGAGAATGGACTTAGGTTTCCCATACAACCTTTCATCAAATCTATCCTCTAGCACTTCAATGTCTGCCCTGCTCAAATCTCCCCCAACTTCTAGGGCATCCTGGTGGGCCTCCTTGTCTTTTTTAAGAAAAATAAGATCGGTACCCCCTCAGTTTCTTTGCTCATGACTTACTTTAATGTCAAGTTCCTACCTGACGGATTTTTGTACATCTCGGAATGGGTGAAGACCCCGACATTGATCACTGACCTACCCAGCTCTCACAAGAACTAGAAGAAACTATTCTTCTTTGTGTCAGAGAAGGAATGAGATTTTGACCTGGGCAATACCAATGATACCCTTTCTGTCCCCCACTCTTGATCAAGTCCTGACAATCTGGTGAGTCCTTGTTTAGGGTAGGCTCAACTTGGCTCATCTTTTTGTTTTATTTGCTGACCCCATTTCCTTGGGTTGTTTCGTGTATTCGCCCCGAGCTTGGAGCTGAGGATAGGCTTGTTTTGCTAGAGCTTGAAGATTGCGGCCCAGAGAGGTATTCTGATTTGATCAGGCATTCTATGCTTTACCAAGCTAGGGTTCAGCCCTCCTGAGGTGAGATTTGAGACTCTGATTCCCATTTTCGTTGTTAGTGCAAAAGACCCAGCTGATAAGGTTGCTCCTTCTTGATCTATGGCTTTTCTTTTCCTTCTTTTTACATTAGCTAACCTGTCTACTTTCTCAGATTCCATCTCAATGGCTCCAGATACCGAGGCTGTGAAAGCTAAGATTGCCGAGATGAAGGGCAAAGCTAAGCACAAGGTTGGAGCAAGCTCTAGGATTGAACCTCCATCAAAGCTGCAGAGGACAGAGGTGCCTCCCCCTCTCTTCCACCCTCTCTTCCTTCTCACTTGATCCTCTTGCCTCCGCCGACTTCACAGGATGTAGCTTTGACCTCTTCTTCTAAAGGGGCCTCTCCTCCTTTTGTTGAAGGGTCCACTGGTTGTGTGGGGGACTCCTCCTCCCCTTCATCAGTAGATATTGTTGGAGCTCTGGAGTCCATTGCTCCTTTCTTATGAGGGTCTTCCTCTTCCCAATCCATCGAGAAGAGTCCTCGTTTGTGAGTGGANAAGGGTCCACTGGTTGTGTGGGGGACTCCTCCTCCCCTTCATCAGTAGATATTGTTAGAGCTCTGGAGTCCATTGCTCCTTTCTTATGAGGGCCTTCCTCTTCCCAGTCCGTCGAGAAGAGTCCTCGTTTGTGAGTGAAAGGTCTACCGACAAAAGTTAAGAAGGGCAAGGGTTCACTTATTGGGGACATCGGCCTTGCCACTCAGAACATTGCCTCTATTATTCTTGAATCTGACATTGTGGAGGCCTCGATGATCCCTTTACGTACCTCTGCTACTATGGCTTTGTATGCAACAGCCTCGGTAATTCTTGATTTCTTTAAAAAAAAAATNCTATTATTCTTGAATCTGACATTGTGGAGGCCTCGATGATCCCTTTACGTACCTCTACTACTATGGCTTTGTATGCAACAGCCTCGGTAATTCTTGATTTCTTTAAATTTTTTTTTTGTTTTGAGCTAAGGTAATTTTTTGCTGACCTTGACTTTTTCCTGTGCTATTTAGCTAGTCATCCATGTAAGCGCTGTGGTGAAAAGGTTTCAAGGTCTAGGAAGCACAGTTGAGGAGGCTTAGTGAGCTTTGAAGGTGTCTGAGCTCAAGGTTTTCGAGCCTNTTTTTCCTGTGCTATTTAGCTAGTCATCCATGTAAGCGCTGTGGTGAAAAGGTTTCGAGGTCTAGGAAGCACAGTTGAGGAGGCTTAGTGAGCTTTGAAGGTGTCTGAGCTCAAGGTTTTCGAGCTTAGCTTTTCTAATGATGACCTCAAAGCTCAGGTTACAGGGTTGGTCTCTGCCAATAAGGCTAATGCTAGAAAAGCCATCAGGGGCATTCTGAATTTAGGTGAAAATGGAAAGTGTAACACCAATGCAGTATATGGGGACTCAATCTACTAAACTAAGGCATCCATAATCACAGGAGTTTTTCTTTTAACAGCCTCCTTCGTATGGCTGAGCTTCGGTTGGATGTCTCTGAAGCATTGTTCCCAATATTATTTTTTCATTTCCTATTGAAACAAGGGGAACTCATTATTATGAGCTTCCCTGTTTTGACTTTGCACTTCCTCGTTGTCCTCATTCCTATGAATTAGACGATGGGTGATGCCTACAGTTTGACTACGCTCATATCCCTTGGTGATGTCTTTCAGGGGGTCGTTGTGCTATTGTTCCCTCTAAAGGGGATCGCCTTGAGCTGGTTGTGCCCTTTGGGGGTGCTGAAAGAGATTCACCAACTCCTCATTCTGTTGGAGGAGAAGTTGATTGGCTAGGCGAAAGGCCACTAGTTCGTTGTTAGGTGTGGGATCCACCATGGGGGGATCGGCTTTAGGTGTAGGCAAGAAATCATAGGGATTTTCTAACTGCCTGGCAATGGTAACGTCCCGTTGGTTTTGTAATCAAGGAGGATTCATTTGACTTCTGCTCATGTTGCATGTAGAAACCATCAATTATTGGAAAAAATCAATATATTTTTAACAGGAATGGTCGTTCCCATAGACGGTGCCAACTGATGATGTTCTTAACACACTTGAGCAGCGATGTTAATATCAAGTGTACTGAATAGTCGAATTCAATTCAATCTGAGCTCCAAAGTTCTAAGGAATAGGATTTGGGGATTAGTGGGTGATTACGCAAAATGTTTATAGTGGTTCACCAGTTCGAGAGCTCGGTTAATCCACTCTTAAGGAAGTCTCTTGCTCCTAAATATATTGATCATTGCGTGAAGTTTACAGAGAATATTTTGTAAGGCTACAATGGTTCTCTCTACTTTCGAGGGTTTTGCCTCCTATTTATAGCTATTCTTGGGCCTTGCTTGATCTAGGGCGAGATCCTTGCCCCTCCCTTGTCATGGTTGCCCCTTATTGCGCAACGAGACTTGCGCCTGTTGGGTGATTGATGCCAGAAAAAGGGGGCTTGGTGGGATCCAGTTGTCCTTTGCACAGCCTTCCTCGAGATATGGACACGGGGAGTTGAGGTCTGAGGTCGAGGTCTATAGATAATATAGATGAGATGAGCTTCTGACCTGA